TCAGAAGAGGGTATCAAGACCTCAATTATTTAAGCTAAAAACTTCGTTTCTACAGTAGCTATGAAAGTTTGTTTTTGCATATTAAGACTTGACGAAACATAACATCCCTTTTCTGCTTCACAAAAAAAGGGGGAAAAGTGTTTAGAATGACGACAGAACTGTACCTTCAGCATCATATAATTTTCATATAATACTTGGTTTTCCAATAGTGAAGAGAATGAAATATTCATGTAACTGTTTGAGTGTAAACATTCTTGTGGAAGAGGAGCCCCTCATTTACAGGCCCAACACTTTCTCTTGTATGTTATTTTACTTAAGGAATCAAACTAATTAGCAAAATCAAAAACCTGACAACATCAGTGTGCAACATGCTATGCAGTTGCATCCTGCAGATGTTTTGAAATACAGTCTTACGATAAATGTCCTTGTTCTATATGTCAAATAGGAAAGAGGGCCAAAGATGAATGACAGCGACGGCATTCAAGACCACATCCTGCATTACACTGCCATCTATCTCTCAGAACATAGTCAAACCAATGAAAACAGCAAGAAAACACAGTCCACCAAACTTGATCCATCATCAGACCAGTTTCAAAGTCTTCCTCCAACACCAGAACACAGTGTGTCCTTGATATGTGAATATAAGGGATGTGAAAAGACGCACTTGTTCACAGCGAATCAGACGATCAGGAGGACCCCTGGGTGACAAATAATGACAGCAGAGTGATGGTGACTTCAACAAGCAGGGCTTTGAAGCTCTTTGAAGGCTGTCTCTGTGTCAGCGATGCAGCTATGTGACCGTGAAGACTCCATCTCCACTATGGGACTGTCCACCGCCGCAGTGGTGGCCATTAGTGTATAATGTTCTGGTAGATCTGCTCATATTGGTTTTGATATTTCTCTCCAGCCAGGGAGCGTCCCGGTGCTGACTCTAGAGAACGCACATCAGAGGAACGAGCAGAGGTACTTGCTGATGGCGTGAGAGAAAAAAATTGGCAACGGAATGCTGTTTATATTTTGTACTGCCTGCAGCAATCAATTGCAGACTGGGCCACATGGTTTGTCATGAATTAATATTATTTTGAAAACATAATTTCAGAAGTTTCTTTGCTGTTCATAGAGGCCTGCAAAAGAAACACTTGAGGACGAAGAGTGAGTTGGCTCAGCGTGGGCTGCTGGGACTGTACCTAAGCTTTGTTATACTGAGTGTTTTAGGTAAAGAGACTCTCAATCGCCTCTTCAGTCATTCAGTAGTTCCTGACCATGTCAGTGAAACCCCATACGTGCAACTAAACAGCTACAAATCAGCACTATGCTAATTAGCAGGTGAAAACAAATAAAAGGTCAAGCGCAAGAACAGAACTGTCTGAAAGAGAAATTTTTATGTTTTATTGTGTTTTTTGGCATAAACAGTAGATTTATGATTATGAATGTTTAATAAATACAGTGAAATATCCATACAAATCGAGTTTAACAAAGTTATGGCATATATTACAGGCTACAGTAAGACTATTTTTGGCTACTCTCACATTTCTAGGCAATAGATAGTTCAAATGTTTAAATTTAAATTTAGCTGTGCCTCAGTTCTGCTGATTGTTCCCAGGCTATCTCAGTAAGCTCAACAGTTGCTCCATCTTTGCTTTTTCCGCCTCCGGACTCATCGGCAATTCTTGACCCTTCTTGTCCTGTGGAGCCAAAGAGAGAAATGAAGAGGAAGAGATGAGTCAGCCGCTGGTAGTGAGAGGACTGACCCAGGGGTGCCACTAACAATCACAAACACTTCTCAGTGAGAAGCTCCCATTTAAACGTTTCCATCTCGACCGGCGGAGGTAATGAGAGAGGTGTTAGCGCAACGTTATTTCCTCTGTGTGTGCTGTGGTGGAACAAAACCGCTAACACCACCGCCAGAGACTCGCTCCAATCTCACATGACATTTGTCTGACACGATTACAGTGACACATTGGTTCTTTGGGGGAGAATAATCAAAGATCACTTACTGACCATGCCATGATTGTAATGAACGAAACCAGATCAGATGAACTTCTCTGCAGAGATGTTGCTTTAATGCTCTTGCTCTAATTAACCGCTATCCTGTTCCTGTCAATCATTAGGCAACATTTTAAGGAATTATGAGTCTAACAATCATTCTGAGAATATCTGCTAAATGTGCTCAGCAGAATGCTAATGTTCAGATATTCACAGAGCTGCAGTGGAGGGGGGATCTTCAGTGAGCTCTAATAAGTAGCTCAAAGTTACAGCTATTAATATAATCAATCAAATCCTAACCAGGGAGGGCCATTGAGTGGAATAAATTTGCTAAAATGACTATTTTGAGAATTATTCACATCATTTGACTTTGAAGCTGTCACAAAGATGCAGATACAGCAATTCAGCACATGTAGCACAGCACTGATCGATTAAGAATGTGATTTGATTTTTAATTTCCTACCTTAGGCTTCTTGCGAAGGTTGGGAGAGAGCTTGAGGCTGGTGACATGGCCGTGGCCATCGCCCACGATGATGATGGGATGGACAGGGTTGAATTCAATGTTGAAGAGCTTGGTCTTCTTGGACACCACTTTTTGCTGGCAGAGAGCCTCATATTTGTTGATGCTGAGGTCGAACACATGGATCTGAGAGAGAAATGGAGGAGGAGCAGGCAGTTTTAGTCTTTGCATTAATGTTGTGTGAGTTTATGGTTTGATATTTTCAATGTAATTAGCACCTCTATAACGTATTATTTTGCAATCATCAAGCATAAGATAATGGATTTTAAATTTAATAGTAATCACATCATCCTCATTGTCATTCATGTATCATGCTGCCCACCTAAGAATAGTCTATGCTCTAGCAGAAGCCAGAGACGGGAGATGGGGGACATAGGATACAGGCTTAGATACTCATTAGTAAATTTCTCAGACATTATTATTACGATAAGTGGTTTGGAAAATGAATGTATGGATGGATGATTCTTTCTGATTATTGATTATTTTTGTTGTTATTATCAAAATAGAATTTGTCTTAGAATGCAGAAATTGTGGATTTTACTATTGTATATCTCTAAAGAGGAGTCGGTTGCACTGTTTACCTTTCCTTCAGTGGTGACAGCAGCAAAGACAGTGGAGGAATATGGAGCCCAGGCCACATCTGTCACTGCAGCTCCAATTTCTAATTCAAAGGTGAACATGGGAGACCTGTGAGAGACATGTATTGTTACTTTTATAAACTCCTATTCAGTCCAAATGAAGCTCTAACAGAAACTACAGTGCTGCCATTCTGAATTCATCTAATGTGGACATGCATAGAGAGAGAGAGAGAGGCAGAGCCTTTGTTCAAATGTGGGCTGTCGGGAGTAACTGATGTCTAATTGTGAAAAATAACAGAGGCACGTCTGGACTATGCTTTAAAAGCATCAACAAGACTGTCACAATCAGTAAGAATAAGAGAGAATCAGTAGTACCACATAATCCCAATTAAAGGAGAGTGCTTGACACTCTTGAGTTGACAGATGAATTTATCCGCTGGCATTTGTATGTACACCAGACTTGACTATTCTCTGTATATCACTGCCTGCCTCTCTCAGAGCTTTTACCATGAGATTAAAGTGATCAGTTTTCAACTTTACAGCAACACACATTTTTAGTACAGGAAGATTAATATACACTGCTATATAAAAGTTTGGGGTCCATAAGATTTTTGATGTTTTTGAAAGAAGTTTCTTACATTCACCAAGGTTGCATTTATTTGATGAAAAATACAGTAAAATAAATAATATTGTGAAACATGACAATTTAAAATTACTCTTTTCTATTTTAATATATTTTTAAATGTAGTTTATTCCTATGATGGCAAAGCCGAATTTTCAGCAGCCAATACTTCAGTCTTTAGTGTCACATTATGCATCGGAAATCATCAGCTTTGCCACACAGATTTTGATACTTGGACAGCTTAATAAAACAGGCTGTGTGCCATAGTAGACTAAAGGCTAGTTGTTGGTGCAAATACGAGGTACATTCTTGAAATAGACACCTAATATTTCTTTGGCACACGTAGTTAACATAACCAAAAGCTGTTCATATTTGTTAATATTATTTGAGGTACTGTATGGTGGAGGGGCTTGTGCGCTTAGAACTTAATTGCATCTGTCGGGTACACGCTTAAATGAGAATTGATGCCATAGGCCAAATTTAAATAAAAACTAAAATGTAAAATTAAAAAAAGAAAAAAATGTCTTGGACAAAAAGGGAACTTGTATAGTCAGAGGCCAAAAGGGCAGGTGCCTGCCAGTTATACAAGCTACACGGGATGATCTATTGGTGCAAAATTTCACATCAGGTAAAAAACGATATATCAACAACTACAAACTGTATACGAGAACAACAGTTAGTTCCTATGTCAACAGTCTAATGAACAGAACAGCCTTAAACAATGTACAGTGGCCTAATAAAGAGTTAAGAGCCAGAGTTTTAATCAACGCAACAGAATTACGAAGTAAGAAATAAGAGTGAGAAGATGTTTGGCCTGTTGGTGATATTTGGTAAATTACCCTATAGTACAACCTAGTCTCTATGCTGTCAAATAATGCTGTTATTTAAATTGTAACAGGCTGGAAAAGGCTGCAGGAGACAGTGCTGTAGGGAATAGTGCTCATACTTCATAGTTTGATCCCAAATTTTGACCATCCAGTCCCAGCTGCAAGAGATGAAGACATCAGCATGGAAGGGATTCCACCTCACACGAGTGACATTCATGAAGTGTGCATCATATGTCTCCACAAACCTATTATAGAGTTTGGAGCCCTGTGAAACACAACCTCATTACTTGTTAAATTAATGTTACAAAACTGCTGTTTTGTACACAGCACTCTTGCTCCTGTTATACTGCTTAACTATCCACTGGTGGTTATGAATAACACTTGCAGAAGTAATAGTGACATTTAAAACATTCCTTGCAAAGAGATCGACACCATTATTCTTGTATTAATACTGCAGCATCTGTTAAACTTTAAGGGATGTTGACATGATGCATATATGCTTATTTCTATAATACATGTGAATGGCAAATACCTTTGTTTTGATAGGTGGAATTAACAGCATAGTGTGTGTGTGTGTGTGTGTGTGTGTAGAAGTGGAAGGATGTTGGAGTCAGTAGGAGTAAGTAATTTTTGCATGTGATGTTTGTAATTTAGAAGAGAAAAAAAAGTCATACAGAGCAAAGTAAAGCACATAGATGAGAAACAAAACTGTCTGGTCTGTCAAAATGAATAGTTTGAACGCTAGTCTACCCCTGGCTGGCAGAGTGAAAAATATAAATAAAGAAGGAGAGACGTCCCGTGCTGCCATGATAGCAGTGCAGAGACATTATAACCGCACAATCTCTATAAATCACACTTAAGAGAGTGTGCAGTTATAATGTTTCCTCATTTAGTCTCCCCAAACGGTGTGCATTTGTTTTAATACTTTATTTAGCGGTGCAGATATACTTCCTTGTTTGATGACAGGGATATTATAGACAGTGACTGCTCAACAGGAGACAAGCACCACAAACACAACAAGCTCCTTCTCCCTGATTCTAACACAGAACAACAAGATGACTCAAGACTGCAGGATGTTTACAGGGTATTTGTTCATGTCAAATATATA